GGAGGGGGTTTTGGGTGGGGGGAGAGTGCTGGAAAATAAACGATGTTGTCTATGACAAGGCATGACGGTAATGACGACGACGATGGACGCGAGCGGGAGGTAGAGTAGGTGAAGCAGCAGCAGGAGCTGTGTGTATGTGCGTGTGTGTGTGTGTGTATGTGTGTGTGTGTGATACCTGTGGGCCAAGTGTTTCGGCCAAGTGCTGTGAGCCCTCAGCTGGACGGTACGGGACGGGTTTTTTGCCAGCGCGCCTGCTTCTTCTTCATCTTCATCTTCATCTTTACCTTCAATTTTCGTTTTAGCCGCATCATTGTCGCTGCTGCGAGCTGTTGTTGTTGCTGTTGTTGTTGTTGTGGCGTGTTTTGTTTTTGGAATTTTTCAATTCAAGGTTTTGCCAAGTTGCCTGTCTCTATCCCAGTGCCTGTCCGCCCGTCCTGTTCTACCTGCCGCTGCCTTCACACCTCTGAAAAGGCGCGCACATTCCATGTCTCAGGCTCAGGCTCAGGCTCACTCGCGGCAGCTTCTGCACAATCATGCGAGCGGTTGAGAGAGGGAGAGAGTGAGCGGAGGCGAGACGCTGACTGCTGCTATCAATGGCAGCCTTTTAAGGTTTAACAATGCGCTACTATGTAGGGTATTTCAGTTAACTGATCAACTATGTAACACATTGCCAAAAAGACAGTGCAAACAGCATGTACAGTAGTCGCTCGCTAAAATGCCATAAAATACAAAGCTCGTAAGGAATACTCCAGATACGACTATATGCGACATATACACAAGTCAAGTTGTATTTTAAATGTATCTAAATGCTGCATTTCTTCGAGATTTAAAGCCATCTTTATAGTTAACAATTATCTGTAGCTTGAGCCCAAAGTGAAGCCTGAATCGATTATGTTTATTTCTCATTTGTGTATATTTGCAAAGGGTATTTCAAAGTTTAACTGCTCTTTCTAGTTGTTATTTTTGCTGCTGATGCTGCCTGTCTACACTTGCGCCTCGTCAAGTGTGTGTGAGTGTGTGTGTGTGTGTGTGTTTGTGTGTGTGTGTGTGTTTGTGTAACTGTGTGTTGTAGACTGTGCTGCCTGGCATCATAAATCATCTCAAGTGGCTGCTGCTGCTGTCTGCTTGGGCCTGCTATTTTGGTTTTGTATCTATAACTATAACAATTTGCAAGTGTAGCTCACAGATACACACGCACACACGGACACACACACACACACACACACACACACACACACACTTGTCAGCAACACCTTGCTGCCAGGCGGCGGCAGTCACTTTGACATTTGTGCTGCACTAATTTGCAGCACTTGCAGCAAAAGATACAAAGATACACAACTACAGATACAGATACAGCTACAGCTGGAGATGCGTAGATGCGCGCACTCTTTAGATACACAGTTACAGATAGTTTCACGATAGCGCTGGCAAGGCTCAGCGCATTCAATTTGGTAACAGGTAACAGCCGCTGCCGCTGTTGCCGCTGCTGCCTTTGGCCGTTGCATCCACAAGATACAGATACATTTTTTGCTGTTGCTTGCCGTGTTAAACTGGCAACAGCTGTGCGCCACATTTGCAGCGCACGATAATCAAGTTAATGCAGCTAATGATTATGATGTTCTCGAGGCTGATGACGCAGTTGAGGATTTGCGCATTTCATCAATCTTTGATTACAGCACATCCTCTTCTTACTCTTGGAGCACTGAAATGCGGCAACAGCGCAGCGTTAAGAAATTTAAAAAAAAAAATGTATATAAATATAATAATAATAATAACAAAAATAATAGCAGCACAAAATCTGCAACAGCTGTGCGGAAATTTGAGCTAATTTTGGGGCTAAGGATACGCCCTCAAAAAAAAAATGAGGAGAGAGAGAGAGAGAGAAGAAGCAGCTCATGATAATCAATCAAATTCGTGCGGAAACTGCGGGCGATGCGGAGTTTCAGTAAATGAACAGAGCATGTTTCGTGAAGAGGAAAAGACACACCTTTAAAACAGGCGAAGGCAGGAAACTTGAAAGAAAATCAAAGAATCGCACTTAAAACTGGATTTCAAAGATTGCTTGAGCAAACTTAATTGAAGAAACCGTAAAAGAATTCCATTTGAAAACTTTAACAAATAGTGTGACCAGCCTAATTAAAGATATATTTTTAAAAACTTGAGAAAACTGAAAATTTAGTTTGACAAAACATGAACGAAAAGATCCTGAGCTCGTTCTCTTGAATACTTCCCAAATGCCTTGCAGAAATCTTTCTAATACTTGTTTTTTTGTATCTTTTACCTGCATGCATATGAATTTTCCAGAATCTATCGATTTTCCTGCTGCCAATGGAACGATTGCTTGGCACGACTTCGCTGGAGAGCCAATAAAATTGTTCAGTTCAGTGGGCAAAAGTTGAAAAAATTGTCTTTAGAAAGTGGAAATTGTTGAATTTCTTTGAAAATGGTCCATCTAAAATCATTTGCTGGCATCTCTTAAGTGTCTAATCAAATGAAAACCCAAAAAGGAAACTTGCCCCCAACATGCATATGTGCAAATGGAAAATGTACTCAATTGGAAAAGCCTTTGATATCACGTAAATTTATTGCGCTGCGTTTTAAGCAATCATAAAAAAAAAATAATCAACATTTATGCAGCGAATGCGGCTTTATCAACAATTATCAAGAATTTAAATGTTATTGTTATTAACCTTTATTGAGCAGTTTTTTAAGATAACGCAGCCTGAAGTTGGTAAGTTATTTGGTATATTCAATTGGTATATTATTTGAGACAGTATTTATGCTAGTATTTGGGCTAGTATTTTGTCGTTATTTGGGCTAGGTTATGAGTTAGTATTTGGTATATTATTTGGTATACTATATTGGTATATTGATATGTTATTTGGTATAATATATTAGTATATTATTTGGGACAGTATTTAAGCTAGTATTTGGGCTAGTATTTGGTATATTATACTGGTATTTTATTTGGTATACTGTCTGGGCCAGTATTTAAGCTAGTAATTGGGCTAGCATTTGGTATATTATACTGACATTTTATTTGGGCTTGTTTCACTTAGTTTGATAAATTAAGGCCCGATCCTTGAGTCAGCTTAAAAATTTATTGATTTTAATCAGCTGTATATTTTATTAAATTAATTAGTATCTGAGAAATGTGTACGCAAGGAAAAAATTATATAAAAGTTAGAAAATTATATATAATTATATCACATTTATTTTATAAATGAAAATATGCTCACTTGGAGCTTAGCTATTGTCTATGATTCATTAAAGTCTTTGACTGATTATAAATTATAATTACTTTATATATTATAGTATTTATTTTTCCAGTTATATCCAACATTCCAAATGAGAAGAAAAAAACATCTGCTCAAGTAGACACATATATATATATATTTCTTCTACATTACGTACCGGCTTCTTATTATTCACAAAACGAAAACTAATTTTAATCATTTTTAGACTCTCTCTCTCCCTCACACACTCTCTCACACAAGATATATGGCTATCAAGTGAACAGTTCGCATAAATGTGCTGCAATTCCTGTTGAATGCTGCGTTTCGGCAAAGTCTTGAGTTAACTTTGTAAAATGCCGTCGGCTCGATATGCGACTAGAGTTGAGGGCGGACGGCGAACAACATTTGGACAGGGCACACGATAGAAAGAAACAACAATAAAACATGTGCAAAAACATGTGAAAAAGGCAACAGAAAAAGTAGCAAGAACAAAAATAAAGCCAAACATAAACAAAATATAATTGTCTAGACGTCAGTCAGAGCTGATCTGTGAGTAAATATGGATTTTATGGTCCAGCCAGAGCTCGTAACAGACTTTTTTTTTTATTGACTTATTCATTTCCTTTTTTTTTTTATTTTTTTATATATATGCATTTATTTAAGTTGCTTGGCACTTTGTTTAATTAATGGCGCTCTTGTTGGTTTAGCTTTCAGCTGCCTTCAATTCAATTTTGGCAGCCTTTTTTTTTGCGCTTTTTAAACTTAAACCGAAAGCTATTTCAAGAGCCAAATAATTATTGCTATTATAATTATAATTATAATTGATTTAAGTTAATTTTTTTTTATTGTTTAACCCATAAAATGTCAGTCTCGAGCCAGTTTTTATTCGTATTCGATTTCTCTACTTTTCGAATTTTTATATATGATATTTATTTTAAATTATGCGAAATTTGTCTTAATTCTACGCAGAAATTAGATTTCGACATGGCGCGAGTTTAATGAATCTTTGAAGAATGCATATTAGTTGTATCTACAGATAATGTATCTACAGATGAAGTATTATCTATTCTCAGAGAGCGAATCATCGAATTGAAATCGTTTTCACTCTTTCCGTAATGAAAACAATTTGATTTCATTTCACTGGAATTCTTGAAACTATTGTTAAAGGAACATTTTGTGAACAAGTTTCGAATACGAACAATAAATAATGTCGTATAATTAATGCAGTATTAATAATAATAAAAATCGTTCTGTAAGTGTGCTGCATTTCGACTGACTGCAATTCCCACTCATTTCCAGTGAGAATCGTTCGATTTTATTTCACTTTTGCAAATTTTCAAAACAACCCTTTGTGAGAAATGAAAATCATCTATTTAAACTTGCAATTGCTCTAAGGAATAAATTGTAATTGTAAAAATCGAATTAACTATTCAAAACGTTTTCAAGCTTTTCCAATGAGACGAGCTCCATTTCATTTCATTAGATTTCATTTTCTTTGAGCAATTTTTTCAAATAAAACCACATTTAAAAGTGCAAAATGAAAAAATCTATGAAAATTAAACTAGCTTCAATAAATAATTAAGTGTTCAACTTAAGTTTACCATAAAAAAACATTTGCAATAAACTAATTTCAAAACTGCAAAACTGCTATTATTCAATTGCACTTTTTTAAATATATACTATGTTAATGAAAGTTAGTAGCTCTCACTAGGCTTAACGAAATCAACTATGCACTTTTGTTTTCTATTATATATACATATATTGTTTATGTGTTTTACCGCCGCGTCAACATAACATTTATTTATTTACTTTTTTTTTTTTGTTTTAGTACAATGCAAAACTCTGACAAAAAACCCGACGTCAAATCGTGAAACGTGAAAGCGTAAAAAGGACACAAAATGGCAAAAAAAAATAAAATAGTTAAATGTCGCTCCATTATTTTCTTTCGTTATTATTATTATTTTTTTTTTTTTAGGAGCCTTTTTAAATGTTAATAACAGAGTTTGACCTACATTTGTTGCTTCTTGTTAGACGCCGACGTCGCTGTCGCTGTCGCAGTCGCAGTCGCTGTCGCTGCCGCCGCCAAAGCGGCGCTTATGCGCCCGCTGCACTTGCAAAATGGTTCCGCGCAACGTTTGGCTGCAGCCGCTTCTTCTTCTGCTTCTTCTGCTTCTGCTTCTTCTAAGAATATGACTATCCAATGAAGCCGACGTACGCTGCAGCAGTTGCTGCAACGGTTATTGTTGTTGTTGCAGCTGATGCGCTTGTTGTTGTTGTTGTTGTTGTGAATGCTGTTAATATTCCACGCGTAACACTTTTGCGGCACTTTTCCGCACACTCAAGAATTTGCAAGTCCTTTGAGCATTTGTTGTTGTTGTTGTTGTTGTTGCTGTTACAATTTGCACTTGAAAAAAATATGGCAAAAAAAAAACCTGAACAAAAATGGCGAACTAACCGTAAAACAAAAGATGCACAAATAATGCGATAATATTTATGTGCAGTTGCTGTTGTTGTTGCTGTATTTGCTGGTTGTTTTGGCTGCTGTAAAGCGCGTTACACGCACACATACACAGACGCGCAAAGAAACAGACACACACACGCACGCACACTGCGAGACGAGGCGAAGTCGGTTTGCGTTGATTAAAGCGACGACGAACGGAAATACACGCACCGACAACGTGTCCAAACGCTTCAATGAATCGCACAGAACTAAACGCGTGCCCGTCACGATGGCTGCTGCCTGCTGCTGCTGCCTTCTGCCTGCTGCTGCTGCTGCTGCTTCTGTTGCTGTTGCTGTTGCTGTTATTGCCTGCCTGCCTGACTGGCTGGCTGACTGCTGTTGTGCTGGCCGCCTTGCGCGCACGTGAGCGAACGGGAGAGCTAACATGAGAGGGCCATGCAACGTGCATGCATATGCTGAGGCGGTGCTCTCGCAATGCTATTTGCAAGATGTAAGACATGCGGGTGGCTCTCACAGCCTCTGTAAGCGGCATAATTGATTACATTGATGCTGCTATTAACAGCGCGCGGCTGTCAAGCAGCGGTCAGCGCTGTTAACTACGCAAACAATATGCCAAAATCTCGAAGGAATATTGCAATTTAAATCAATTATTTAATTTTAAATTAACTATATATGTAGGTACTTATGTAAAAGCTAATTAATGCAAGCCAGTACATGAACAATTTAAAAAATAAAATACATTTTTTTTATTTTTGACAATTTCATAATTATATATTAAAAAACGAAACTGTATTTTGCATATGAATTTAACAGATATATAATCTGATTGCTTTTTAACCGTTATTGTTGCTCTTTGCCATATGCCAAAGTATTTCATATTTACTTTGCATTTTACTTTCTTCAGTTCCCTAAATTCTTTTATATCCTAAATACTCCCCAGAAGACTGTTAATCCTCATCTAGTATCAACTATTTTGTATTTTTAGCCCCACACAGCCGCAGATCCGCAATTGTCGAATGCATTTGTTGTCGCGACTCGCGAGTAAACGTTAGAAGTAAAGTACATGCGTCTGTTATTTAACAGCGTTGCCTTACGCTCACTCGCCCGCTCTCTCGCGCGCGCTCGCACACTGTTGTTCTCTGGTTTTGCGCTCGCCCACGTGACTGTTATACACGCTGAGCGTGTTTACAGCTTACAGGACAGCGCTTCTGTTAGCCGCCACAGGTTTCTGTTGTTGCGCTGCTGCCGCTAAGCCAAACAGCTGTTTAGTGTTGTTTACTGCGTCACATAATGCGCGTATAACAGTTCGGCTCAATTAATTGCTATTAATTCAAACTACAAACAAAATGTATGCAAATTATTCTATGAAATTTTGATAGGCAAAACTAAATTATTTGTAAAATTCTTGCAAAGTAAATAAATAAAATTGTTGAACATTATTAAAGTAATATAACAACTTGAAGTTTCGCATTCGCTTTCAAATAGGCTTTTTTTCTAACTCAGATTTTTACTATTATTTCGGTTCAGGTTTTTGTTTGCCAAACATTTGCAAATAAGAACTTAGCAGAACTTTTGTTTATTCGCAACAACAGTTTTTATGTAACTGCGATTTTCGATTCCTCTCTTCGGTACGAGTTTAAGAGCAGCTGCTGCGGCAAGCGTATAACAGTTTATGGCAAGACTCTTATACAGACAGGAGAGTGTGCCTTGCGGTTGCGAACTCGACTAATGTTGCGAATTCGGAAACAACTTGTTGTGATCGAAGGTCATGAATAAATTTTTATAGGAGCGTCCTTATACGTTTAAGCTAAAAATTATCGATATTATTATCGATAGCTCCTAATTTCAAATGCTTAAAATATTACACACATGCGAGTACACGCTATCGGTACAATTTCCATCGATAAATAATCAATCGGCAAGCAGCAATCGATAAGTTCAATTACGAAAATATCGATATAACATTACATATAGTTGGTGTTCAGTTCGTTTTTAATTTGTCTGGCAAACGAATAAATTATCGATAATTTCGATACACATAATATCGATTTGCCCAACTAACAATTTTACATAGTTGTTTGTTGGTATTCTGAGCACATCGATAGTTCGATAAGACATGTTATCGATGGCGTGCAATATATCGCTTGTGTTATCGCATACCATCTCACATAATTGTAATTGATTAATAAGCCCCTCGTGTCTTATAAATGACAGTCGCAGGCGGCTTTCGCAAGCTGCGCAGCCGGCGCATACCCAACTCAAGACGTAATTTGACACCTCGTCTTAACCGCAAAAGTCAATCCAACAGCCCCCCACCCCGTTGCCCAACAACGTACGCTCGGAATGCATCCAGTGCCAAACTGCAGTTGTTGTTGGAATGGCCGTCATCGATAAACAGTTACAACACATTTTGGGCACTGTTCTCAAGCACACTCACACACACGCACACGCATATAGAAAATAATAAGGTCAATCAACGGGCGCAGCGGGCGGCGACAGCGACGTTGTCAACAGCTGCGCTGGCGCAAAGGCGAACAGCGACGGCAACGGCAACGTCAACGGCGACAGCGACTGCGCAGGCAGGCAGATTAATTGCGTCGTCGTCGTTGACGTTGTTGTCTGCGGCGTGAATTTATGAGTTTCACATGAGCGATGCTTGGCCTGTTGCTATTGCTGCTCTTTCGCACACATGCTGCATTTACTGCCTCTCGCTCTCTCGTTCACCCTCTTCGGCTCAATCTGTTAGCCTCTCATCATTTGTATAGCATACGCATGTGTTTGTGTGCTTGTGCACACTTGAGCGCCGGCTTCGAGCGCCACTTGAGGTCCGAGCCCAGAGACTGTTATTCTTCTTTGTCTTCTGCCTGTTCCTCTTCCTCATCCTCTGCTGCTGAGTCTAGTTTGTATTGGCTGCGTGGGCCCGCATTGCTATTGTTGTTGTTGTTGTTGCGTGTTGTTGGTAAAACGATATGATATGATATGATATGATATATATGTTTGTATGTATGTATGTATGTATGCATACATGCTTGTGAGAAGGTACGTATGTGCGTGCGAATAAAACATGAATTCATTTAATCGAAATTGATCCATTTCGAAAGTACTTTTGAATTAAACGAAACACTGTTATTACAAAACCTCTTAATTATTCAACTTTGATTAATGTTGAATTGAACGAACAACAAAATGTTTTAAAAAAAAAGATCAGGTACTCAAACCCGGAACCCCATTCAACATTCAAGTTTTAAGTTTTAATTCTTTAAACATTCTTCGCATAGACAACTTTGAAAATCATCGAAGGAATAAGATTTAAAGAGAATGATATATGCTAATATTTGGTAGAAAGGGGATTCAGGATATTCCCTAGTCGGGAGCTCGTAAATAGAGCCTCTTATTTGCTTCAATAAACTTGACTAAATGTATTAAAGTTAAATTCTTTTTTAAGCAATTCCATTCAATCAATTGATATATTATATTCAATTCAAATTCAGTTTTAGATTCAATTGCAATTCGCTTTATCGTTTGTTCTCAATTCTAATGATTCACTTTATTTATCTAAAATTGAAACTGAACTCCCTTTCAATCTGTCAAGCAACAAACGAACATCATAAGAGTTCAGTTTTGCGATCAATTCAATCATTCAACTTCTTTCAACCTTCCCAAAATTCAACTTCAATTGCTTAGAGCAAATTTTATCAATCCAATCTTAATACGTTTGTTCCCAGAAATTGCGATTCAGCTAACATAAATTAAAGTAAATTTCAACTCCCTTTCGACCTGTTTCAATTTGTCTTCAATTTGCTTTCTATTAACATTCAGTTGACATGAAAAGAATGAATCTATAAAGTACCGAACATAACATTATTGAATGTTGTCAATTTATGTTTCAACCATTGCGTATTCAATTTCAATTGCTTGAGGCCTATTTTGGCTGAATTTCAACTAGGTTCAGATTCCACATCAACTTATTTTCAATAAAATCCTAATATGTTACAGTAGTTACACCAAATTTAAATTGAACTATTTCATATCAAATTCAACTCCCTTTCAGCCTGTAAGGCGTTTTCAATAAGCACACAATTCGTCAGTTCAGTTTGGAGTTCAATTCAATAATTAAATGCAGTTGTCAATTATATCAATTTATGTTTCAACCGTTGCGAATTCAAACTCAATTGCCCGCGGCTCATTTGGCGATTTGTAAAGTGTAATTAAGCCAAATCAGTTGGCTATTAAACAATTGAAGATAATTATGCGAAATTAAGAGAATATGCCTGAAAGAAGTACAACTCTAGCTAATTGCGAATACAAGCCAATCAGATTGAAGACGGGCTTCCCCTCGCACTGAAAAAATGCAAATCAGATAAACTGAAAGTGAGCCAAATTGCAGACAAGTTATAAACGGGGTGTGCGGGGAAGTGAGAGCTAAACAATAATTAATATAGATATAAATAATGTGTAGACCTCTCGGTATCCCAATCTCCCGGTCTACCGCTCTCTGGGTCTCTGGTAGTCTCAAAGTCTGCACTTTGTGGTCGGTTCGTGGTCCCGAGACTCAACTCAGTTGGACGTCGATGTTTGAGTTTGTTGTCCGACTCCTACGACTATTATGCTGTTGTTGTTGTTGTTGTCGTTGTTGTTGTTGCTTGTGCGGTGATAATGACAGCTCACAAGTAAACCAGCGCCAGATGCGAGTGCTCGACGAAGCGATACCCTCTACTAGCTGAGATAGGGCAAGCCATGAGAATAGTTCGTTTGGTTGGCAAATAAATAATAGATTTTCATTTAATTTCAAATGCAATTTTAAGTAATAGTATGAAGGAACGAATTATTTATTTCTTGCTGTCATAAATATCTGAAAATTCGATTGTATTTCAACAAGCGTCCACGAACAAAGCGAACTGAACGAGGGCTGGGCGAATCTTTTGGCTCTGGAGCTATTCAGAGCACAGAGCTGTGTTATACCCCATATTAAGCACATTATTATTACAGGGTGTACAAAAAACAAAAACCAGCAAGCAACTCCTTTAATGAAGTGAAAAAGTAAACGCCGAAACGTTGTGTGTAGTTGGCATATCCCACAGAGAGACACAGCGGCAGCTGCCAAGGTGTACGAGTATAATACAAATATCGAATACCGAATACCCAAATGGAGGACTACAAGCCAGAGATGTCTGTGTACAGTTATAATTAAGTGATACACATAAATGCGAGAGCGAGAGCGAGAGAGAGAGAGGGACAGTGAGAAGCTGTCCCTAAGTATTTCAGTTTTATTTTCTGATGTTTTTTTTTTTTTTTTGGGCCTTCTTAA